TCTATCTTGTCAAAATATCTAATAAAAATCCAAACTTTTGCAATAAAACCTTATATGAGTAAGGTTTTGCTAATCAGCGCCTCTGTCAAAACCTAACAAATAAAAAGTGTCAAATCAAATCCACTGATCAGCAAAAAAAGATACTATTTCACAGAAAGTAACGACAAAACTCTTGAAGCTACCTTAAATATATTTAAGCAGTGCTAAGAAACAAGAAATTTTTGTTCCTCCCGTTACATGACTGGCTGTGCCTTTGAAATAAAAATAAAGTACAGGGAAGAACGCGGAAACGCTCACCGGTCCCACTGAACCCGCTGCCGTCATTGGACTTCGTGGCTGCTGCATCTGCATGTGTTGCTGAGATACCGAACTCACTGGACCACCGAGCATTGATCCAAGCTTCAAAATGTAATACGTTTTCGGAAAGAACAAAGGCAATTCAATCGCCATCAATGCAAGACAGAAAAAGCTTTCCCGCTGTCATCTCCCTTTCTTACGCATTATTCATTTGTCTATATTGTAGCCTTATGATATTAGCACAATATGTTGAAGTTATTAAGATGAGGAAGTGAACTCAGTATCACAATATATGTGGCATATGACTTCCGCAAGCATTTAAATCTGATATTACCTGCATGAAAACACAAAATTTACGAAAAAGTTAGAAGCGAAAAAGCTTACGAGATAAAAGCTTTTCATTCGAGTTCTGTGTTGCAAAATAACTAAACAGGCATATTATAATCTATACAGTCTGCAAGAAATAGTAAATTGCAACAGATTCCTCTGCCAAAACTGAAAGATTACGAAAAACTAGTTGTACATAACATATAAGATAACATTGTTGCCTTGAAGGCAACACAAAGACAGCACAAAAATTTTTTTTGAAACGTCTTTTTGAATTTCTGCAAACCCTAATTTGGAACTTCAGAAATCGGGGGTGTTTATACTGACCTGATTTCCAAAAAGAAGATTTTATAAGATTATTTATAAGATCATTTATATACCCGTGTAGACCACTTTCAAAATTGAGAGCAGAGTAAGAAGATTGCTCACGCAGGTGAGACTGTTTTGTTAATAATGATACAAAGATTTCTATGAACTGCACTGAAAAATAGACTCAAAAATTTAGAGGTATAAAAAAACTTAGAGGTGCGGTCTTCGTCGCAAAAAAATCTGTGCTACTTGGATTGCATGTTGCTAAACTTGGACTGACGTTATCGTGATATGGGACTGACGTTATCATGATATGGATTATTTGGCCTAAATTGGCCTATTTGGATAAATACTGCCCAATAATATTTCTACTTTTGCAGGTATAAATTTTGACGTTATGAAGGCACGGTAGTCCAAACCTGGATTATCTATCAACTGGCGCCCAACAAAAATTGTGCTTCATGTAGATGTCACACTCGCACCCTTTCTCATTCCAAAAACGGGGACGAGTGTGACATCTACACTCGTCCCCGTTTTTGGAATGAGAAAGGGTGCGAGTGGGAGAGAAAGTCACCGCTCGGGACATTTTACCAACACAGTGGTCCTCCTTTAGCTGCAGAAGTAAGACGGCCAAAAAGCTAAAGCAACTCTGATACTTTTGAAAGATGTGGACATAACAACGAGAAAAACTTGAGACCAAACATTATGATGTTTTCGCGACACCCTTTCATCATAATTTCTGAAGAGGAAAGGAAAAACTAATATGTGATGTGACCGTACCTGTGATTGTCCCGAAAGCATAGGTTGTTGACCCATAGGAGGCTGTCCTTGTTGAGAATGTGGCGGTTGCTGTACTGCTTGTTGTTGTCCCATCTGTTGCTGACTCATAGGCTGTTGTCCCATTTGTTGTTGACCCATCTGCTGTTGAACCATTTGCTGTGGCTGCATTCCCATCTGTTGACCACCGAGCTGTTGCTGGAGACCCATCTGCATGGGCTGTTGGTGGCCCATGGGCTGTGTTGGCTGTTGCTGCTGTTGAAGTTGGGGCATCTGATTCATCTGTGGTTGGCCCATTTGCATCTGCTGTTGTTGTGAAGCATAGTGCATTTGCATTTGTCCTTGCTGCTGAGGCATACCGCCATCTTGACCATACATCTGCAAAACAGCGTGAATCTCCAAAAGTTCTATGAAAAGATTTAAAAAATATGATATGGAATCAACACGTTTTTATTAAAAAAAAGTGCAAAGCTGCTTGTGTGCAACATGACTATAGCAGAGTAGATCTCTTTGTCATGTGTGCAACTACACAAATTTCATGGAATTGACGATGGCACTGGCTCTCAGGAAAGGCACACGCCATAGTTGATCCACTTGACCCTCTTGATCCGCTGGACCCATTCGTATAGAACCTTAGTCACTACTTTGTCATTTGGCGTCGCGTAGGAAAAATTTGTATGGTTACGCAAATTCGCTGTACGCCATGCCAATTGACAAATTACTCACGGCGCGATTTACACGAAGTGGATCAGGCGGATCAAGTGCATCAATCAGGTATATCAACTATGGCATGCGCGAAAGAAATGAACGATGGAGGCAGGGCAAAAAATCTGTTTTGGGCAGGATTCGTACTTATCCTCTTACGCATCATAGCCGCTGATGTACATACAGTGCCAAAGTGGGCGTGAGAATTTCAAATGCCGCGTGTATCATGACAGTACCAGCTGTGCTAATAAACTTAGCAGCTCTGGATTTATGGTTATTCCTGGGCTTCTCTATGTAATGACGACGCAATCAAAGCAGGTCGTTCCACTCAATCCGCTCATCATTCAGCAATTTCCGTTTCCCACTGCCAAAATGCACACCAAGACCAGTCACAGGGAG